CCTAGTCAATACATTCGAAGATATAAAAAGTGAAGAAGTAGGCTACTGCTGTTTACAAAAAAGCAAGTCTGATCCCAGCATATGATACATTACAATACGATACGATACAACAGCCATAACAGTCACCACTAAACCACTTCTGCATGCCCTACTTACATAATTATCATGGACTCTGGACACACTATACATGCAAATACACCTGCCAGTTTGGACTCACTTACTGCTGTTACTGGTAAATGCAGGTGTGCTACAGCTTCAGTCTGTTCTTTACATGACATAGCAGTTTTTCAGTACTGGTTCATCCACTCTGCATGTTACTGTGTACTGTTCTTGGGTGTGGCTTACAAGGTCTTGCAAAATGGGGCACTTCATATCAAATTTACTAAACCACTGATGGGTCAAAACCTGTAGGGGACCCTACTATGGCACAAAGAGATTTCTCATAGATAAAACTATGCTTTGGTATTATATACAATCCTCTATCTGTTGGACAGTGCTGCTAGCCTTTTATATGATTTCCCCCAGGATCTCCTGACACTGTGCCTCATTGTATAGGTCCGTGGTTATCAAAGTGGGTTTCCTGGGTACAGGTCAAGGGTGCCACAAAATTATCACTGTTCATTTATTGTGATTTCTTAATGTCTCACCAAATTAAAAATGTTTTTATTTCACATTTTAATATTTAACTACATAACAATTATGAAAAAACATGGTAAACATCGAAATTGGCAATTTTAAAAAGCGTTTTAATATTGTAATAATATTATGCCACAGATAATCACAGCTCATTATTGCCACTTGTCACTGTAACATAACACACTATCTGCTCTGGAGCTTTTCAGTAGGAGCAAGCGATGGAAAATATTTGACACAGAAAACAGAGCTCCAAGAATGCTGCAACAACTGAATCGGAGCCCTCCAATAAAACTAAAATCAGACTCAACACTGTCTGACTTACGGCTTAGTGGACAGGTTGAACGCTTGTGTGCTTGTCAGTGCATTAAATGTGCTATTGCCTAGGGGTTGGGTGGCTTGGGGTACCCTCATAAAAAGGGGTGCTGTGGTCTAAAAACGTGTGGGAACCACTGGTATAGGTATCACTGAAAATGGAGTGCTGTCTGTCTAAAATTCTAAAATCAGCTTGTTGCAATCTTTATTTCTGCTGCCTTTACTGCTGTGTAGCACAGTCAAACTAAATCCAATTGTCACTTACAGTCAGAATAACGGTTCGATTTATTGTGGTCTGCAAATACATCTCCTGTGAAGTGAAAGTATCTAAATGTAAATGTTGTGCATTCATCTGAAACTGAAAAATACATAAAGCATTACTACTTTTGCCCTCTCTGTAGGCTGAATGGTGCTTTGTACTTAGTCAGCTTTAGTTTTCAGAATTATTTTTACAACTTATTTAGGAAGATTTAATTGATCCACAACAGCGGATCACAACACACTAAAACTGAATGGGGTAAGACTGAGTCTCAGTACTATCCACCTCATTTCTGGAATGAATTGCAATGGATTTCAAAAGGAGAGCAACTCATTCCTCTAATGAAAGCTTTGCCTCCTGACATTTTTAATCACATTTCTGATTTTTATTTGTCTTTATTTGTGTGTGTGTGTGTGTGTTGAATCTTGATTTTATTCAGACTTCGTAAATCTAACGTTCTCATTTTGCAATTAAATCCTGAAAACACTTCTATTTAAAATGACTTTGCTTTGTCTTCCATACAAGAAACAAAACAAATGTAACAAACACATTATCCTGTATTTAAAGCGGAACTGAGCATCAAATATATTTACTCACTATGTCTTTTCACCCTTGTTTGCCACTTAGTTCAGTATGAAGTACAACAGCGCCCCCACTCCTTCACCTCCATCATCACCTCTCACTCCTCCCTACACTTGCTAGTCATGAAGAAGCATGAGTTTATGTTTCTTATGAGTGCATCCTTCATGCAAACTGATTTTCCTTTTCTTTATCCAGTTTTAAAGGATTCATATTCTTTTAGGGCTTTTGCTTATCTGACTATTTGTATTAGATTAATCTGTTATAGTAACCGCTGCTGCCACTCTGAATAGCACCATGTCTTTGTGTCATCTTGCAGTAGTTGTATTTTTGTTCCTTTTCTCTGCTTCTCTCCTTCTAGCACCTTCGCCGTTACCCTTGCTTCTAACTCCTCCCACCCCTCCATTTTCTCCAGATTGATGCCATCTGAGGTTGCAGGCCCAGGCCTCCGGAGCTGCAAATTTACCCAGCAGCACACGTCACTAACAGGGGAGCGCAGTGCTCCCAAAATAGCCCAAACAGCAATTGGTGAATGGGGGGGCCCAAGTGGTAGTTACCGAGAACCGATTCTGACAACAAAATGAAGATTTCCAGACATCATGTGTACACCCATCATTTAATGAATCACCCACGCAAATCCTGCTGGTTGAATTATCATGTGTTTCAGCACAACTGTGAACAGTCATAGAAAGTTCCTTTTGTTTTGAAACAGTTACTCTGAATGCATTTTACTGCACAACTGTTCACATCACACATGTCTCTAAGAGCTTTTAATGAGGGCAACCCAGGTTTCTACACAGCAACAACACAACTGCTTCAATTGATCATCCAAAAATGTGATAGTCCAGTTCAGAAACAGATCTTTGTGGTCACTGGCATTTAATAAAATGTAGGCGTTGTTTTAGCCACAGGAGTATGTTATGTTAGCAAATACAGCAATAGTGAAGTGTTGCAAACACGTTGGAAATGAATTAAAAATAAACGTGAAAAGGTATCACTCAGCTCTCGTCGTTTCACGACCGACCAGCCGTTATCTTTACCTATGGAGATCTGTAGATGCTTGCATAATTGTGGGCTGTTGCTGCATAAAAAGACATGCAGGATTTAATTAAAAGCAGCTAACAAAGGCAACATTCAGGGGTTTCCTTGGTTGACAGTAGGGACTGCAGACTCAGGCTGGTCTGCACCGTTTTATGGCCAAACCATTGCTCATGTAGCTCAAAGGCTGTGAACTTCTTGTTACTGCAATTATTTTATTAATTTTACAAAGTTGTTTGTAACAGGAAGCTACAAAGAGGTGACAAACTCAATGTGAACAGCTTTACTGCACCTTGGCATTGACTTTCCAAGTCTCTGAACTTTGCTGGAGGGATGAACACTGTTCTTCCAAAAGATATTACCTCATTTGGCATGTTGATGTTGACACATGATTCACATCATTTTCCTACTTATCAAACCAATCAGTGACCCCTCAAGCCCTGTGGCTAGGGGCAAATGTCAACGTGGAAGAGCCCATTCCCATCAGGATGGAAATGTTTCATCGTAGGATGAAGATGATCACTCAGAACAACTTCAGAACAACACTTCAGCTCAGATAAAACAGTCTGGGTTTAATCTGCAGTCATGTAAATTTCAGCATAACCTTATTTAAATTCTAAACAATCTTTTTGCACACTAGGCCAGTGTATAGATTAATTTGTGCTTTTATTTAATACACAGAGAAAATGTAAAGGTTACAGGTTACATTCATTCTGACACTGCAGAAATCAGACCAGAATGGTAGTATTCACCTTTTGAAACTCAGGAATTAAATTAATTTTTTTGCTTTTAAAGCATCTGCTAAGTTGTTTACCAAAATAAATTACCAAAAATATTTAATAAATAGAAATTACCAAAATTTGTGTAACGATATAATTTCCAGTATCTTAAGCTATCAAGAGCATCTTTTATGTATCATATGCCAACATTGTCTTGGAACATTGGAACAAAGCCTGTCATGATTTTGGTGATGTGGGTTTGAACCTGTTGACATCGTGTTGTCTTACTCGTGCACTAGATGGCATTACACCTCCACAGAACAGTTCACTACACAGAAATATTTGATCTTCCCAGTCATACTCAGCAAAGTTTACCCATGCCTGCTTTGCCTGAAGACAGTGTTGCTGGGCCTTGTTGTGAAGAAGGTAGTTATTTTCTGGGCATTTCTGTATCTAATGTGACTATGTGACCACTTGTCTCTGAGTTTATGATAAATGAGAGTTCAGTTTACAGCTGAAATTATGTGAATATTACTTAGACATTTAAATGTTCAGCCTTAGCTCCAGTATATATTCTGTTAACTTGAATACTTTACTATTTATGCATGTGTATTGGTGTGTCTCATGCCCCCATATCTGGCACTTTCAATTTGACTATCATGTAATATATAGTACACAAGTCATATTCATATATACAGTTCATAGCTGGTTTTGTGCCACTTTTGGCCACAGGTTTTTTAAAATGAAGCTCAAAATGAACATTAATTATGAATGTAAATTAAGGCTATGGTTATGTTTGATACAAGAATGGATAATTGGTAACAAAATATTCAAGGTTTTTCTTCCTTACATCAAGACACTGTTAGAGTTACAAGAAATATTATTCACATTTTCCATGTTTAGTGAGCTCTGACTTTACTGTCTCCCCCAACTTCTGATATGCAGAATGTTATTATTCAGATTCAGATAATAATAATAATGTTTTCTGATATTATATTTAAAAGTGATTGTCCAGCTGGAAATTGTGTGTATAGCAGCTCATCCATAAACACTAAAAACACATGACCTTAAATAGTCATATTACAGTCAAATAAAGTTATATCATTCACAAACGTTCTGGGTTTTGCACTGCTCCTCTGATGAAAAGTGACACCAGTCATGCAGGGACTCCATCTAGTGTCATAAGGTTGCTGGTTCAATCTCTCATATCAACAGTGCCCGTTACTGATCAATTACCTCTGAGCATAATAGCATACATGACCCTATCTAGCTGAATATTATACAGACGACAGACAGCACCAATGCTGTAGAATCAACCATCTCTTAAAAATATTGCAATGCAACAAACATTTTCTTGATAAATGTCTTTGCTGTTATCTAAAATAGTGCAAAGAAACATCATTATTAAATACAGGCAACAATACAATATGAGACACTGGGGCTGGAGGTATTAAGCACTATTCAAAACCAAAGTGAGGTGGGTCAACACTGCCTGGTCTTAAGAAACTGCTGGGAACCTCATATGTAGCAAGCACAACCATGGTAACAGGAAATGTAAGCAGACAGTTGATGACTAAGCTTCAGAAGAAAACCCCAGCTCTGTCCACCCTCACTGTCTCAGTAATGGAGTGGAAAAATCCCTTATATCCTTTTATCTCCCATGTTCCATCCATCTGCAGATGGGCTTTTATCACATCCATAGGTGCTCCCACAGTCCAACCAGACAATGAAAAGACACTGAACTTAATAAGATACACTGAAAATTAAAACAAAACTTTTTCAATCCTCAAGGAATGTGTAGTACAACTAGAAAAGAGTTTTGGACTCTGATCTTAGGTTGCCCTATGAAGGGTAGGTGTTCATCAAGCAAACAGTGGCAATCATTGAGTGAGCATACAGCCTATCATAGCACTAAAGTTTTACATTTACTGAAATACAAAACATTGACTAAGGTGTAAGAAGCACTAGCTTTATTGACATAGCCTTCACTCACCTGATCATCTCTTGCTGCTATCTGGCAGCCATTCAGAGATATTGGCATAAGTCAAAAAGTATGTGGTGAACGACAGCCCATCTCTTAGCATAAGTGGGAAAGCTCCCCTGTAGAGCCCCATGAACCCCTCCTGTTTGATAATGTCCAGCAAACAATTAACCAGACCATGGTCCTTGGGTTTGAGCATGTTGGGCCGTCCTTGCTTGGACTGTGTCTGACACTGCTGACATACTGTATTTTCACCGTTTCACCTGGAGACATCACTGAAATCTGTTGCAGGCAGATAACGAGAGTGCCAGCAACAGTCTATAAAACAATATGCAAGGCTAAACATATGTTAGAATAATAGGTAAATTTCATTTGTGTGTGTTGTAAGTGATGTAGCCCCTTAACTTCACATGCCTAACATGTATATGAAACAAGTATTAGCTATTTGTAGCCACATTTGCTTAAGGTACTCCCTGAGTACCTTAAGTCTCTGGATGTTGTTGGGCTGTCTTAGTTGACATGCCTCTGCAACGTCGCATGGCGGTCGGGGACAGTGCCTCTGGACTGGCAGACCAGGGTGGTGGTCCCTCTTTTTAAGAAGGGGGACCGGAGGGTGTGTTCCAACTATAGGGGGATCACACTCCTCAGCCTCCCCGGGAAAGTCTATGCCAGGGTACTGGAGAGGAGAATTCGACCGATAGTCGAACCTCGGATTCAGGAGGAACAATGCGGTTTTCGTCCTGGCCGTGGAACACTGGACCAGCTCTATACCCTCTTCAGGGTGGCGGAGGGTTCATGGGAGTTTGCCCAACCAGTCCACATGTGCTGCGTGGATCTGGAGAAGGCATTCGACCGTGTCCCTCGCAGCGCCCTGTGGGGGGTGCGCCGGGAGTACGGGGTCCGGGGCCCTTTGCTAAGGGC